TTAAAAAAACATTTCAAATACATTTATTTAAATAAAAAAATTTACAAAACAAGAATTTACAATCAATAAATTATACACATACGCGGATTCAACAATTTGGGATTTTACAGTAAAATATTATTTAAACACCAAATTAACATATTTGTACATATATTTACAAATAATATCATAACTAGAAATATTATTTAACCGTATTTTAACCTAATAGTTAATGGTTTTATATTTTCAGCACATAATGAATTAAAAGAATGCGACACCACGTCAAATTTATATTTTAAACGTATAACATACGTTATACAATTTCATGTTGTTAGCTTTAATATTATATTAAAATGATTACTAACTTATAATATGATTACATGGTGAGGAAATTATCTGTGTTTATTGGTTGATTGTTTACAATATTTTCATTTTTAAATGTGCTTTAATTAATTAAAATTTTTTTAACTATTGTAATATTTTTTATACATTCATGACTTACTTATACATTTAAGTATCGTAAAAAATACCAATGTTATAATATAAATAATGTTCTCACATAAGTTTGTTTGATAATATAGTTCTTTTCATGAGCTTAAACTATCACTCATGTTTCATGTTAAAACTAAAACTAACAGAAAATAATTAGTTTTGTCGAAAGAAAATTTTACCATGTTATACTATGAGAGAACTAGACACACAAGTAAGTACGGCAACCTCATCGAATCTAAGATTTAGATAAAACAAATAATGATTCACATAAATTAATTTAGTTTAACCGTTTTTAGTAGATACGAAGAATTCTTCAATTTCTAATAATGTTTTATTTTCAGTTTCTGGCAAATAAAAATATATATAGATCAAACCAAAAACGCCAACACAACCAAAGAGAATCATAGTGTACTCCAAACTTAAATACATTTCAACTATCAAGTATGATTTTGTTAATGTGAATAACATAATATATGCCAATCCTGTCGTTGTAGATGTAGCGACTCCTCGGCTTCTGTAAAGAAGAAATGCAATTAGAAGAAAATTCAAATATAAAGTTTGGGTATTAAAAAATATGTACATACTACTTTTAGGTTAAAACAATTTTTTTTACGTATACAGATTATTAGGTACACTAAAATATAATTTACAAATAGGTATTAATACAAATTGAATATTTTTGCTAAATCGACGACGCTTTCAAAAAATGCATTGAGTGTGATTATAATTATTAATAACTTTTTGAAAATTAAAAATACAATTAA